CTAATAATGGTACTATATTCGTCGAGCGCGAGACGCGAGGAGATCGGGGCATTTCGGAAATCGCGTACCACTCGCTTGCGTAACGCCTGAAAAAAAATACTCTCGAGATCGCTCGAAGATCGAAATTTGCTCGAGAACGATCTAGAGATAGATCCTGCGAGCGAATCTGCCGACGGGCTCCACGAAGATTGCGAAAAAGAGATCTTTGATTTTTTTTCCAAGGAAAGTGACTAATTCGATCGACCGTTGTTTGCACATTTTTGCCAAATACGTTGAATATACGCTTCGGGAATAGTTAAATTGTTTTTCACTCATAGTGGGTCAAAATGTACGTGTATATATGGAGGAGTTTACCATAGTGGGGTAAGTCAAATTTTTAAAAATATTGACTCGTGTGCATAGATGCAATCTATATATACAATATATAAATTGCATCATGCATACGAGTCAATATTTTTAAAAATTTGACTTACCCCACTATGGCTTTTACTCCTCCATATATGTGGGTCATTTGTTAAATATAATTTAACGTGAAAGAATAGAATGGCAGCTCTCGAAAGGGATATATGTACACGTTTATCGATACACAATTTCTACCTTCCGCGGTAATTCTCGATATTATCCTCGGGCGCTCGCCGCGTTTTTACGTAACGTCGACTTTGGTTCCGGCAAAATCAATTGCAACCGGATGCTAATTAAAAGCGAGGCTGGCGAAAATTCATTTCGCGTCTCGTCCGTCGTGGACCTTTAATTCAAAACGAGAGATGGCGGCCACGGTGATTATTTTGCAAATAATTATTTATCGCCGGTATACCGGTATTTATCCACCGTATTCCTTAATCGTTAATTATAAACTGCGTTGCGATGTGCGCGAATTCATATTACACCCGCAACGGGGGTTATTTTTCGCGTAACAATGCCGCGATGTTTTTATACGTCTTGTTAAGCGGGGATACTTTGCAACGGGATGTTAAAAACATCGTTAATATTTATAATACGTAGATATACATATACGCGATCTTTCTTTTTCTAAATATAATTAGGTGCGCCGGCTAATTGGATGGGCCACAATAAATAATTAAAAAACTCTTTCAGTTTGACAAAATATAAATAAAGACACTCACCTTAATCCATCCTCCATGAGCGGTCACCACCACATACAGCAAATACAGATCTATATCCTTCCCATTTATCTTCGGTGACTTCTTGAAGAGAGTCCTGAAATCAATAAAGAAGAAATCTTTGAAATAACTGGAAAGTCTGGTCTGGAAGCGAATTTTACGCTATGTCAGATAATTAATTTTCCATGAATCAAAAAGCAGTCTTTCCTGTTCAGGATTTCGTAAAAAAACATCACGAGTAAAACAATCGTTTATTAATTTGTGGCATTTTTCAATAGATTCTCTTTACGAAAATAAATGTTTAAGCTTAATTAATCTGCGTTAATTAAGGATCGAATATATATATATATATATATATATATATATATATATATA